AAGCTGAGGGGTGTCTGCACCCCTCGTGACCACACAAGTAATAGGAGTAAAAAGTGTTGCCTCCCTAACCCTGGCTGTAATCGGTTACTACCTCGTTATCTGCACAGAGTTAATTAGGAGACTAGTCTAGAGACAATATTGCAGCTCCTGCCTCTGGGGCCTTTTCCTGCAGAAACATTAACGAGCTCCCCTTGCCCTCACTTGCTCGGGAGGGGGATGTCTCCGAAACCACCTAATTAAAATCAAGGGCTGGAGGAGAGTTCCCCAAGCGCAGCTGGGAAATAGGAGCGGGGACTCCATCTGCTGCTGGCTGCTTTTCCTCAAATGCTCTTGGAGGAAATTGGGGATGAGGAGGGGAAGAGGAGAAGCATGGGGAGCTGGGAAGCCCTTTCCTGCCAGGTCTGGGCACCTGGGAGGGATTTTTACCTTTTTTTTTCCTGCTCCCTAGTTATTAATTGACCTGAACTTCTCTCATTTGTGGCTGGCAATTCCCAGGGCACCCCAAGTGATGCAAGCTTTTTACTAGTGCAGGGAAGCATTGGGTCCCCTACCATCTGCATCAGCAGGCTTGTATGTTTTCCTTCTGGGGTCTAGAAAGATGGAAAACTATCCAAATCAGATTTTATTTTTTTTTTAATCAAATTTTCATGTCGTATTCCAAAGCATGAGGAGCTGGTAAGACGTGGTCTTGAAGTGCAGCTTCAGCCAGGAGAAGCAGCAAATATGCGGGGAGATGTTAATTTTACTTTAAACTGTGTACAGGCTAAACAAATGGTTTGGGTTCTTTTAACCATGTTGTTGCCCATGCTGTATGAAAAACAGAGATTTTTCTCTTCTATCCTGATGAAGGATGAAAATCAAAAGTTCTTGATTAATTTTTCAAAGAGAAATTTTGGGTCAATCAGAATATTTGACTTTGAGAAATTTTACCATTTTCAATTGAATTCCTAGAGAAAGGTAAATGAATTAAAATATAGGCAAAATTAGAAAGTAGCTTTGAAAGGATTGAAATTTCTTGCTCTGCACATGTTGGAAGGAAATACTTTTTTGTTAAGGTTGTTTTATAGTATTGGGGGGGAAATGAAGATTTCTTTTTGTTTACGGTTTCAGTCTTTCAGTTGCATTTCTGGCACTAGGAAAAGGCACCAGACAATGTGCAGGCAAGTTCAGATGCTGAGTCCCTCCTCTGGGATGGCTGTGCCAATATCTGGCTGACTCCTTGGCTCCTCTGGGTGTCAGTGGTGGTGCGGGGACATGGTGTGAGCATGTCTCACCAAACTGCCTTCTCCCTTGCCTCCCCCACATGGTGTGGTGGCAAAGCTATTTTGAATCAAAGATGAATCAATTTCTTTCTCCCAGCTGCTTCATCTTCAGCAGGAGCTCTCCTAGAAATGTGGTGTATCTTTTTGAGCAACAGATTTTCTCAATTTGCTCTTCCAAGAAAGTTTTCACTGATGTTGGGAAGGATCTGGGGCGACTTGTAGCCAAAACCTGTTGGGCTTACCTGCAGGAGGTTATAAGGCACTTCTGTCCTATTTAATGGCTTTTTTGGCTAAGAAACGGGCAGCTTCTCTGCCCTGGTAAGTGCAACTTGCAACCCACCTTGCAATGCAAGTGCTCCTCAACTGGCTGCCAACAACCTGCCCCAGGGGAGCACAGGGAGATGCATCTCTGTTTGCCACCCCAATAGAGAGGAGAGAGGGAGACATCCCACCCAAGCCAGACCAAGCCTCCCCTCTCCTGACGTGACCTCTAGAGCCAGTGGCCCCCAAGATGTGGGGCTGCAAGATGTGCAAGGACCTCCACAACAACCACACCCTCTGTTGGCTGATGGTTTATCAGATCAGAAATTGCAATGACCTAAAGGTGTCTGGGTTAACCCGTTTGACCAGTTTTCATATTGGGATGGAAAAAATTGCTGTAGAGCAGGCAGTGCTGAGTGTAGCGTGGGGAGGAAGGAAGGGACCTAGTCTAGGGAGAGACTCTTGAGGTGGCTGTTTGCAGCACTCCTACTCAGCACTTGCACGTGAGTTTTGCTCAGCCAGCCTTCCTGCAAGCATGCAATTGCAAGTGTGCATTCCCTTTGAAAATCTCCCTCTAAATCCTTTGTCCTTGATTAAAATTTAGGAGGAAAGACTTTCATATAGCATTGTCATGTGGCCTGGATTCTGCATCCATTCCCTTTGGGAATTTGTTCTAGAAAGTCAGTTGGGGGGACCTGGGACATCTCAGTGCCAAAATGTTTCTTAGTGCTAGTTTTTGTGAGGATAGAGCTCTCCTGGGAGGAATTATTTCTCATCTGCTTGTTCTTCACTTCCATGCATCTTCTGTCTCTCTCCATCCCTTACCTCTCTCTCCCACTGAACTGGGATTCAGTGAGACTCTGTAAGTGGTAACTATGGGCTTACGGGGATATAATAATTGTATTGCGACTTTTTGTGTGCTGAGGGCAGAAGTCTGAACTAAAATCCTGTTTCTTTTGACACAAGTGAACAGAAAAAATTGTTGTGGCATTGCCAGCATTTGATACTGTTGTTGAATTATAAAGGGAGGAGAGTCTTGGCTTTGATTTCCCTATCTCTGAAGCTTGTCAGACATGGAAGATAACCTCTGGTCATGCTTTAAGAAAGCTCTTTGAGATTACAATGGTTTGTCTCAGACTTTAGGAGACAGGGTAGGTTGTTACATGAGTCTCTTGTCCCTGCTGCATGCAACAAGATCTGAAGACGTGTAATAAGATAAATAAGGAGGTCTCGGCTCCTCTGAATGTCAGCTCACTTCAGAAGCAGTTGTTTTGCACTGGACCAGTGCCCTGTGCCCTCCATCAGCACCAGTACATGTTCCCCCTGGGGGGGATGTTTTCTCTTTGGCTGGCAGAAGGTACCAGGGCTGGAGTCTGTCCTCTCTCAGGACACCAAAGTACCTAAGGGAGCTCAGTTCATACCACTGGGAAACTGTTTCAGGGATTTCTCTAAGCAGGGAGGCTAACCCACTGATGGAAGGGGGACCAAGTCTTCATTCGCCAGTCTTGGCTTGGTTTTGGGTAGAGCATAGGAGTAGGAGTCAGGGCTCATACTGAGCCCTCCGCCCCTCTCTGCCTCTCGCCTTGCCCGAGACTCCAGGCAGGTCCCTGCTCTCAGCTACGCCATGTTTCCCTTCACCAGCAAAACCTGCCGTTAACAGTGGGGCTTCTACTGCACAGCTTCCCCAGGCCAGCAAGGAGGGTGAGCAGGGTTGCACGAGGCACCCCTGAGCCACTGCGGGCGCATCTGAAGGGAGGATTGCACCAGCAAAGCTGCATCTCTGAAAAATATTCGCAGCCCTTAACATTGCATAGTATTATAGTGCACAGAGCCGAAGTGGGATCTGGCCCCCTCTGTGTACTCTCTGCCTCGGCGAGTCTGCAGCCTGCTGCTGACTGCGCTTAAATTTCTTTAGCAGCATGTTGGGCTGTTGTTAAACAAAGAGAAGGTTTCTGTACAGCGATAGGAATCAAAATAGCAGCCTGAGCAGCTTTCAGATGTGAATGAAATTCCCTCCCGAGCAAGGGGCCCAGGCCAAGCTAATACTTGGTTTTACCCGCTGCTGCGAGGCTCTGCTCAGACAAATTAATGTCCAATGACTTCCTTGGGTTGCATGTACCCTCAGAGAACGGAACCACAGAGGCTTGTCTGATATGGCTCCGGCCAAGGAAGTTTCTAAAGAGCTTGTGAAAGCCGAGGAGCTGAGAAATCATTAGGTTGCTGAAGGAGGAGAAATCCATCCTTTAAATGCGTTGCTAAGGTTATCAGCAAGGCTTGGAGAGTGCTTCTCCCCATCTGCATTTACATGCTCTGTTGCCAGCAGTGTTAAGGGAGCCACAGCTTTCCAAAGCAACCTCCGGTACTTCACTGCTTACAAGAATGATGAATTTGCCGTATCAGAGGTGTTCCTAACTGATGATGGGGAAGGACTTGCTACCAGGTCTGAAGATCTTGGAAGATACTGATCCTGGGGAACTGTTCCATGTTTGGACTGAAAGAACATAACTGGGGGAAATTATAGTCCTGCTTGTGTTAATCCAGCCTCTTCCCCTATGGGTAAGGTCCAGATGGAGCTGTGTAGCTCGTTGGCTGGAAGGAACAGAGTAGACCTTCAGAGCTCTTGGGATGCCCACAGAGAAAGAAAGAAAGAGACAGAACCAGTCTCCAATAAAAAGGATATTGCACACCTTTAGTTATTAGCAGCCAGTCCCAAACTGTCCCAGACTACTTGAGCCACACCACAGGGCTCACCAGCCTTATTTTCCAATGTGCTTCTGGCTGCGTACAAAATGCATCATCACAGGACCACTCCTGAGTCTGCACAGCTCCTGTACAAAGCATTCGCCTCCTGTTGTCATTGCCACCAGAAGCGTCTTCCTGGCATCCCACTCACTGGCACAGCTGGAAGAAGCACAGTCACTTTCTGGATGGAGCCGCATCCTCGGATGCTGGATGCAAATCCTCCATCACCTCACTTCATTTGAGAGTCCCACTTGTTGCTGTTGCTCCTGTTGTAGAACAAGAAAATAGGTGAAGGTAACCAATGTCGGAAAGGATGGCGGCGGTGGCTTCCTGTTTTATATCTCCTGAGCATGTTGTTTTGGCAGGCGTGATGGGTACCAGCCACATGTCTGGAGGCTGCAGACATAGTTGGGAGACTTTCATCAGCAGGGTACCAGGCTCTGAAATGGGATGAAAGCATTCAACTGACTTTTTTTGGAAGAACTCCCTTTGTAGGATTACAGTACAAGTGCTGGCAAGTCAACTGTTTAACCACTAAAGTCACTGTTACAGCTCAGACCTGCTCCTGAAAAGGAGTTGATGTCTATATGGAGAAGATGCGTTTTAGCTCAGTGCACAAAAGGTGAACACGCATTTGTAATCTGGCTATTTCTAAGGGCTGGCAGGTGAGAGGGAAGGGTGGCGGGGGGGAGGAATCCTGACCCACGCTCACAGCCACCACGTTTTTCTCTCCAGCGCCTGGTGCGGATGAACATGCCGATCTCGCCTGAAGATTTAACCGTCCACTTCACATCCACGCTGATGGCCTTGATCCGCACTGCCCTAGAAATCAAACTGGCCTCAGGTGAGAGGGAGGTGATGTCTGACAGCATGCGTGGGCTCAAACCCCAACTTTTCTGTTGGCTTGGTGTCCTCCCGAAACCACAGAAATTCTGCCCCAGGTGGAAATCCTGTTTTCCTGTTGCCTGCGTGCGCTCTGCCAGCGCCCAAGGACAAGGGAGCTCTGGGGACAGGCAACAGAGAGGGGTCCTGAACATCACTCTGCCTTTGGGGTGGCCTCATCCTGGCATCCCTGTTGATGAGATGTGAACAGCTTTGACCATCCCCGCTGGGACATCTCCAAGGAGAAGCCCTGTGCATGTGCTCGTTGCTGTATAACAGAAATGAGAGTTTCCACACCTGTTTTCTAAACTGTTCCAGCACGAGGGGAAAAAACAGCCCTTCCTCTGCAATTGCTATCTGCTGGCAGCAAAGCAGTGACACCAAGTGCCATGAATCACATTCTGCCTTGAGATAAAATTTAATTATTTAAGTGTTTAATCAGGCATTTACTTGACTTCCCAATTAAACATTTCAATGTAATAAAATACACTGGCCTTTTCTCTGGGTCATTACACTATTTAATCAGGCTGGCTGGGGTCAGAATCAAGGCATGACTGGCCAAAGCACTTTTATACCTAATTTAAAAGCTAACAGGAGGTAACAATGCTCTTACAAGCAAAGGGCAGGGCAGGGTTAGGGTGTTGTGCTTTTCCTAAGTGGTTTTAGGCCAGCCGTTCAACCTCTCTGTATTAATTACCTCCCTCATATGTTGCTTAAACTTTGTCTTTGTAGCTTTGGGTAGGCAATGCTGGAAGAAGACAAAATTTTGAGGTCACTGGGACTCCCTAAGGGAGTGACAGTGAGTATCAGACACTCATTTCTAAGGATGCATTTAGGACTGCCCAGGATTTTAGGGGCCAGCACCATATTTTAGTAATAACCTCTAGATAAGGACGCTTAGAGTTTATATTTTAGGATTCTAGTTACCTGTCAGCAATGGTAATTCAAACTTCCTTTTTCAACTGAAAAAAGGCTCCCTCCACCCTTTTTTTGGCCGCACACTGGAAGGGAACTAGAGAAGAAAGCTCAGTTGATAGTGCTGGATTCTTTCTAAGGTTTATATCTGCTGTGGGTTGTGAGGTTTTGACCCATTTTGTTGTTATGTGCTTCATTTGAATAGGTTTTGTGTGCTACATTTAATTGAGTCTCTAGTGGGACTAACAGGCCCTTAATAAACCCTCCCTAATGAGTTTCGGTGTGGGAGTTCAAACCTCCATGTAGCAGAGTACCCAGAGCCTCCTCCCATTACTTTTCTCTTAGAAAAATAATCTGTCATTCAGATGAACTACTTAATTGCCTACTGTGCGGTGCATTCATTTGGGAGCTGGCCTGTTGGCTTACATATACTTTAATCACTTTCCACTTGTGTATTGAGACCTCACTTTGGCCATTTGAATAATGCCGCTGTGTTCGGCTCTTTCTGTTCTACATTGTGATATAGCTGTTGTTTGATGCTGCTGATACAGAACAGCGTGCTTATGTCTCATTGCCAAAAACTTCAGAAAGAGTTGGTGGAGAGGGTTTATAATAAATCATGGCATTGCTCATAGTCCAGCACCTCAGACCAGGTCCTTTGCATTGCTCCCAAGAGGTGCTGCTGCTTTCTGCTGACTCTATCCAGCACCCCAAATGAGCACTCGGGTAGAGTAAGTCTGAGCTTAGGTTTAAGCCCCAAGTAACAGCAGAGGGTCAGTGGGTTGAAGCAATGATGGTCCTGCTGAGTTCACTCTTGTCACGGAGGAGGTCACCGACTCCCTTTGCGAAAGCTGCTGCAGCTGGTGCTGGCTTGGTGCTGTCAAGAAATGGGAGTGAGGGAAGTACCTTCTGTGCTTGCTGTGTAAATAGCGGTATGTGCTGAAAGGACAAGGATTTTCGCTCTTCTTCATGTGCCTCTTTCTCTCCTCTCCCTTTCTGCAGGGGGTGTTAAACAGCACCAGTGTGATGCCGAGTTGAGAAAGGAGATCTCACTGGTTTGGCCCAATCTGTCCCAGAAGACTCTGGATTTGCTGGTGCCTCCTCACAAACGTAAGTGGTTCATCAGCAAGCACCCAAAGCATCCCAGCCAGCTAAGAAGCCCAGAGTAGGTTTCTCCCTCCTTGCCTGCTCTGTCTCTAGCCCCATCTAGGTGTACAGTCATCTAGAGGATGCAGCAAAGAAACCGAGTGCTGTTCAGCTTCTAGGTATCCTCTCTGCAGGTTCACAGCCTGCACCTCCATGCCATGGTCACACAAGGAGCAGGAAAGCTGAGGTTATATTTGGCACGTATTTCATTATGCTACAGTAAAATTCCTGTACTTAGGGAAAAAAAAACCCAACAAACCACTTTGCCAAGAAGGGACCGATGCCCCGTGTGGCCTCTTCCAGAGGTTTTTCATAGCTTTGTCTGCCTCCAGCCTGTGTCTTACAGGACAGGAGAGCCATTTCTACCATCTGACCTCCAGAAAACTGGGAGAAGAAAATTAAAGCTTGCTGAGAACTTACAGAATCAGAAGTGAGGTATTTTGGGGCTAAAGGCCTTTGTGTTACCTGATGAAGGCCTGGGCAAATGTGCTGAGAAAATGGAAAGTTTGCCGTTATCTGGATTGGCCCAGTCAAGGGCCAGGATTCCGGATTAATGAGAAACAGTGCAAAGCAATAAAGGCATTGTTAATTAAGAAAAATGAGGGAGCTGAGGAGGTGCAAATCAGTGAGTAGTTACTGCTGAAGTCTTTTCCTCCCCTCCTCTCTTGATGCCTATATATCTGCTGCTTTAACTCTTTGCTGTATGGTAAGTGCTCCATTGCTGTGCAGGGAAGGGCTGGTAGCATATCTATGAGGGTGAAAAAAGACATCTGGAAAAATGAAATACTCTTTAAATGTATATTAGCCCATTATGCCCTGGTTGACTGTAATTCAGAGAAATAGGAATAAGGCTTCTTTGTTGATAAAAAGCTGGCTGTGGATCTGGTATTTAGCAATTCTTTGGTTGGCAATGCTTACAATGCCACAGAGTTTTCCTGCCTGGTTTTTTTCTACATGGTCTCTGTGAATGTTTGCCACAGAAAGCTAGAGACAGGGGCCATCCTCCTCAGATGTGATAGGCAGCAACAGGCAAAGATCTGAAGAATTCTGTTGTAAGCTTTTCTTGGTCTTTTTTTCTTTCCCCCACTTTCCTGTGTCTGTTTTGCCTCATTATTCTAATGTCGCCTGTTCTTTCTCCTTGTTTTTCATGCCCATTTGTTGTTATTTCTTGTGCTTGTTGACTTATTTTTCTCTTCTCCTGATCCTTTCCCATTCCTCACCTGAATGTCTCTGCTGCGTTTCACCATCCTCTGACAGCTGACGAGATGACTGTGGGGAAGGTCTATGCAGCGCTGATGATATTTGACTTCTACAAGCAGAATAAGAACAGCAGGGAACAAGTCCACCAGCCGCCTGGAGGCCTGTGCCAGGTACTCAGCCGAAAGGCGTCCTTCTTGGTCCTCCCTCTTGGGCAGCCTCTTCGCCAGTGTTGGGCAGCTCCCACAAGAGTCACTGGCACGTTTCATCCAGAAAGTCTGGATGCTTCTCCAGGCAGGGTTTGAAAATGCTGTCTCAAAAATGGAAATCTCTCCTGAAAGTTTCTCTCTCTCAAAAAATACAAATAAAAAAATTGTTGCAGTTGCCTTTTCTAGTAGGTCTGGAAAGATCTTTTCCAAAAAATGTCAAGTGACATTTGACAGTCTAAGTCCTATTTTCAGAAGTGGCCTAGGGAGTGGGGAACACCAAAAGATTTCTTTGGGACACCAAAGAATTATTGAAAGCTGATGATAGTTTGGCTATAAAATGTTTAAGTTACTTTTGAAAAATGGGAATTATTCAAAATCATTTTGGGTCTAATAGATTTGAAGATTTTTACCGTTTCTCGAAAATATTTCCACACAACTGGCTTGGGATTGAAATCCCAATGGTTTCCGATAGGATAAATACCTATTGATTTCAGGATGATCATCCTGATCTCCAGCATGGCCTGTCTGTCTGTCTCACAGGTGGGAGGCCACAGCTGACCCAGTGTCACAACAACCCGCCTGAATTGCACAGCCCCTTTGGTCACATCAGTGTATGAAATCCCTGCTGTGCTCTGGTGACCGGGGGAATACTTTTTAGAGGGAAGGGGGATTGCAGCACAACTTTGGCTTGCGCAAAGCTGAGGGCAACAAGTGTCCTTCAGAGCCTTTTACAGCTATGGGAAAGCTGGGGTGTGCTTTCTGCTGGGCTGATCTCTCTCAGGGTGACAAAGTGGTCATTTTATTACCTAGGAGAAGCACTGCAGCCCATCCTCTCCATATGCAGCTCTGTCTCTGACAACCTCTCCTTGTGCTTTGCAGCCTGGACCAGTATCGCTCTTCCACCCCCTGAAGGCTACTTTGGAGCAAACCCAGCCCTCAGCATTCAACAACGCAAAGGCGTTCCTTCGCCAGAAAAGCTCAGCTTCACTCAACAATGGGGGTGCATTGTGAGTATCCTGTGACGTCCCCGCCAAAGCTGTAATGCAGAGAAGGGGCACGCTGGGTGTATGCATCAACCCTGACCACTGCTGGTTCAGTTGCTCTAAGAGGTGGGGCAGCACAGCTGGTGATAACCAAGACCAGCAGCCCCTTCATGGCTGGGACAATTTCCCACCAGTGGCTACCAAAATGCCTCCATGTGGCTCTGCTTCCCACTGCCGCCTCAGGTGCAGTTATCCATGCAGTAGTAGCATTGGGTTCTCCAGAGCGGCATGTTTTCTTAATGGTCTCCTCTGAATCTTAATTGGAGAGCTTTCTGTTGTGGCTGATTGTAAGTGTGAGTTTGCTTACAGGAATTTGGGATCATTGCAAAACAACCAAATAAATGCCAACCCACCAACCCCCACTGCAGTGAGTTCTTGGGAGTCAAAAGGTCCTTGGGAACAAAGTCATCCCTAGAGCTCATGGCACTTGGTAACAGCAAGAGGTCCTTGAGAGTTTCCAGGACAGAATCTGGCTCTTTCTCTTTGGGCAAAATAACACCTCTGCAGAGAGCTTACCAAGCAGTTGTAGTAATCGTGATCCCTAATCAATTCTCCATTTCCTGTTGTTCTTCAGGTGACTTTCCTCTGGGTCACAAGCACTATGGATTTTTAGTGATAGACACCTGAAGTTTAAATGTCCCAAATAAGCCCAATGGGGAAACCAACATCAGACTCAGCAGTGAAACCTAGGGCCACCTGTACCACTGTACATTCAATGAATGTACTTTAGCATGGCCACAGATGTGTTTGACCAATGTCTAACTGGTCTTTCATACATAATTTGCCTGAACTCCAAAATTCTTCATTCTTCTTCATCAGAACTTAAGCTGCAGAAGTTGTTTGCCTTAGTTACTGAAAAAAAATGTGATGGCTGGTTTGATTTCCTTGTTGCTCATGGGATCTTCAGGCTGTATAGGAAGTGGCCCTGGCAAAATCCAGGGGACCTTATAGCTTCACCAGCAGCTGTGCCTATCCTGCAACTAGTTTCACAAGTGAAACCTCAAAAGGTATCCGAGTGGTTTACCTTCCTCACAATAAGGTCAGGAAAATCTCTTTGCAAAAGAGTTAATCTTTTTTTCTCTTTTCCTTCTGACAGGCCAGCCCCAGAGGGTGGGATCAAAGAGTCCAGTTCTTGGGGAACCCAACGCACCCAGGACATGTTTTATGAAACCAGGACACCAGCTTTTGAACGAGGCCACTCAGAAGAAATCCCTATTGAACGGGTGAGCAAACAGGGTGAGATGCAGTAGATGTTAGAAATGCAGTAGATTTTTAGAAATTTTAGAAAAATGTTTAGAAAAAAAACAGGTGAAGACAGGGTGAAATGCAGTAATCTACATCTGTCCCTTGAGATGAGCATTGTTCTTTCTGTTACAACCCCAAGTTTGCTTGAACATTATGGAGAAAAACCAGATCTGGTAGCTTCTACAGGCTGATAGCTGTACATGTGGACACTCTTTTCATGGAATTATGTGTCTGCTGCGATAGGTTACTTAAGGTTCTCTCTTCCTAGTTGTCCCATTGTCCCAATCCTATTGTCATCAGTGTACAAACTCAGATGAGGGGTTTCACAGGTCACAGCTGGGGCTCACTGCCGTGGCTGGTGGAAGAGCTTGGCCCATTGTTGTCCTTGTTGAAGACAGCATTGTAGATAGAGTAACATGGGCACTCCACAGCTCTTAATTTACTCTCTTTCCCATACTAGCATTTCTTCACATTAAATCAAACTTAGCAGAAGCCTGCTCAGATGATGGCTTCAAAGCTGATGTTCACGTTCTTGCTACTGAAACCATTTCTCGTTTTGATCAGGTGGTAGAAATGAGGGAAATCAGCCCTACACTTGCCAACGGAGAGCACCAACCAGGCCTGGAGAGCCAGGGGCGGGCAGCTTCCATGCCGCGCCTGGCCGCCGAAACTCAGGTGAGCGAGGGAGACTTTACTGGCAGTGGGAGACTGAGAGTGGGTCAAGAATTCAGTGTCATCTCTCTGCTTACCATGTTGTTGGAAGTTGCTTGGGGATATTTGTTTTAAAAGATGTTTGCTGAACCCGGAGACAGGTAACCAACCTTTGTGCTTGGATGGCGGGTATTCATGTGCAGACACAGCACTGTCCCCAGTTTTATTCATCCCTGGTTGCAGCAAAAAGCAACCCAGAGAAATCCCTCTGTCTGGGTAGCTAACTGATGACTACCTACGCAAGAGTGTCTGTTCTGATTAACTGGGGACAATGCTGTTTGCCAGCCTGTATTCCTGGAAGGCATATGTTTCCCATTGACAGTTGCATGCCATCTATCCAGACAGACAGCCAAGGCATGCTCCTGTGCCATAGCCCTAAAGAAAGCTGGAGAAGTGCTGTGATTCTCTTTGATTAATGTACTAGGTACAGAAAAAAAACAGGGAGCCTGTGTCTGGAAGGCTGCATTGAGACACTAAGCATCCTCCCTGTTTTTTTCCCTCTTCCCACACTATTTAGCATATACTGTATTGTGACTTTGGTCAGTAAAATGTTGAGGATTTGCCTTCTTTTACTTCTTGTAAAGAAATCTTGTCACTAGAGTTGACTTTTACAGCAACTTGTGGACACTACTTAGTGTGTAGGATGTCATGGTCTTCACAGATCATTTTGGGGCATTTCACATGTTCATTGCTAGCTTGTCCTGGATGTTCTCCAGCCAGCATCCTGCCTCCTGTGTGTCAGAATGTCTTACCACTCATAGTCATAGATCTCATTCAAAGGGCCTGATTCATAACAGTCAGGAGCGAGCAGCCCATGGCTATGGGCTGCTTCCATTGCCCTCCACGGGAAGCAGAACATGAAAGATACACTGCACCCTGAAACTAAAAGCCTGTGTATTGCATACACAGCAATAGCTCCAACAGATATAATCTTTTCGCTAACCTGCTCAGGCTGGCACAAGCTATACTTCATCGGCTAGCAAATTTCCCAGCTGACTTCAGAAACTGCAGTCTTTGTATGAGAGCTGAGATTCTCTGTGTTATCAGGAACACTACTCAACATGCTTAATAAAAGAAACAGACCCCAAAGCAAACCCATACTCCCTCCCTTCCCCCTTCCCAGAACAAAGTTGTCCTTTATTCTAGACCACAGGTAGTATCTTTCCTTCCAAGGCAATGCAGTTGGCAGCAGCAATGCCAGCAGCACGAGCCTTTCTTTGGGAAACTCCTGTCCATTGCAGTCAGATGTTTGCAGAAGTGAGTGTCTCTTGCAGAAGCATAGTACGTGTTCCCCAGGAGACAGCTGTCCCACGTGAAAGCTGTCTAATCTCGTTATGAATCAGGCCCATAATATCTGAGCAGATCTAACCGCATTTAATGATACAATGTTTTGGTGGTTGTAGCTTTAGCTGAATAACTGATGTACTTTCTGTGTGTGTCTTCCCCCTCCATGCCCTCCACCCTCCCTCTCACGTGCTGCTTTTGCTCCCCCTAAACTTTGAGTTCTTTTTAACTCTTATTTGCAATGCTTTCTGTTTCTGGGTGTCTCCCTTTCTGTTTGCCTGTCATTCCTCTGTCTTTTTATGTTCCACTTTAAAAAAAAATAAAAAAATCTTCCTATGCTTTCAATCTCGCCTCCTCCCTTCCTCTTTGCTGTCCTCCTCCCCCATCACCTCCCCTCCCTTGTCGTCATCATGTCTGCTGCACATCTGCCGTGATGTCTGACAATGGCTGTACTGTGGGGCTGCTTCAAATAATGTCTCTCATCTTGTCCGAATTGTTTGCAGAGGAGCAAAGCACGGTCACCTGGGAGTTACCTAGCAGTATGTAGTTTGCACTAAGTTGTATCCTATTAAATTCATGTTAAGAAATAATTAACCTTCCTTAACCCTTTACTTTTTTCCCTTCTCATTTGGAGTCCAATGTTGCACCGACGCAGCTGCTATCTCCTTCCACTTTGCTGCAGTTCCCTCGATCCACAATTGCACGCCGCACGCTGTAATAGCAGGGATTTTTTGTCTGTTTGTTTTGCTTATTTATTTGTTTTTGTATGCCTTGTTGCGCAGGAATTTAGGAAGTGAAAACAATCGCTTTGGTAATGAAGAAGCAATTAGTAACTCTCAGAAGGGTTATGGTATAGTCTCCCGAGGCTTGTGGGGAGTCTGTGCATGCCCCGTTAATGTAACGAGAGCATTGTCAGGATTTATGGAAAGCGTATTCATTGCTTTGCCACTTCCCATTAGTGTCAGCAGGGACTTCTGTCCGTGGAATAAGCACAGAATCAGGTCCAAAGTCCAAAGAGAAATGTTCATTTCTTATTAATTTGGCTGGTTTTTTTGTTGGGAAATTTCTGTTGTCTTCTTCCTGGCAGCTCCTATATGGATTCTGGAAATCTGGATAGGTGTTTTTAGTGGGAAGTATTTTCACTTTTCGCTTTTTTGCCCATCAGACCATCCAGTTTACAGACCTCTCTGCCTTCCTCCATCTTCAGGCTCAACAGTAAGCAAGGAGGACAAACATGAGGCTCTTCAGTATAATTTCTTGCCCACACAGCAGGGGCCACAAGAGGAGACAAACACAGCACAACATTGTCCTGCGAACTGCACTGGTGCAGACCCCGAGGATGCACCGATGCCGCAGGCTATGCTGTGCTCCCCCACCCCAGCAGTGTATTCCTTGTGCCTCTCACAAACCTTCCAGCTCTAGCGCTCCACTTTGCCCTCCAGTAGGAAGCACCAAAATTTGGGTAACTGCCTAGCAAAAGAGAGAGCACCAAACAAAAATTCAACACAGGCTACACCTTTGCACGCAAGATAATCCACCTGCAACAGCCCGCTGGGAGGGAGAGTGGTTCTTTCCACTCAAAATAACGAGCAGAGCTGTGAAACAACTGGCTTTGCATTGTGTAAATATCACGGGGCAGCAGAGATCTGAATTTCGGGATAAGCAAACAAAATTGCATAGACAGTAAAAATAATACAGGGTTCTTTGGAAAGGTTACAGTGAACAAAGTAAATGTTCTGTGAGAACTGTCATTGGAGGCACATATTGGATTGTGAACTCAAGCAAGAGTAAGAGCTGGGGGACCGGAGGACACCCTGAGCTCCTTCCCCATCAGGCTGGACCGCTGTGCTCCAAGGTCTTTCCTCTGCCATGCAGCTTTGATGCAGTGGTAGAGACCCAGGGAAGCCTCCAGAGGATGGATGAAGCCCTGTCTCCACCACTGAGCCAGCTGGAGGTCAGCAGAGTGACAGAGAGGGACACATGGGAATTGTTCTCATTTTCTGAGCTTTATACCTGGTGATTGGGCAGTAGAGAAGGGAAGGACTGTGAGAATAGCTGTGCTGCAGTCTACTTGCCTTGGTTTCTGCAGAGCATCTTTGTCAGGTTTTGAACCTAAAGGGAAGGGAGCAGAGTCTGGAGCTGCCGCTGGCACAGGGACAGGGTCCAGCAATGCCCGTGGGAGGCTGTGTTACTGCGCTCACTGTCCAGATGTCTGGCCACAAATGATCTGAGCAAACCCAAGTAGTCATTTCTGGAGATGTCCTGGTAGAATTGCAGGACATACATGCTATCCTGCTTGTCCAAGCCACAAGGGCTTCAAGGAGTGATGGTGGAACAAAAGAGTTTTAAATGTTTGATGGGAGTTGCAGGGAGATAGAAGTAGTTTCTCAGTGGCTTGGCCTGTACCTTGCCCACTTACTCCTGATTTTTCTCCCTCTCCATGTGATGCCCAGCAATGCTTTCATGCTTTCCTCTTAGGAGTTGCTTTGGGATGACCACATGCCCTGAAGCAGCTTTGGGTGAAACTAGTCTTGGAGAAGTATCTTTGTGAGACGCTTGGCTACTGTGCTGCCCTATGCCCCTGCTATTCTACTGTTGACTCCTGTGATGCTGTGTTTGGTGTGAAGTGCTGCGTATCGCTCTGCACCCATGGTACCTGTGGATTGGCACTCTGCTAAAAGTAAAGCCCATTTCAGCAAATGGAGATCACATTTGCTCCTCAAATTTAGCACTCAATCTACCATTCCACAAGTCCTTCTGCCCATTCCAGTTATATCCAATTAACCATTTTTCTCCTTCCCCTCCTTGCCCCTTTCTCTTACTGTATAACGCTCCCCATGCTGGGAACCAAGCAGCTGAGCATGGTGCAGCACCTGCCCTCACCCTGCTCCGTGTCCCTCCATCTGCCTTGCAGCCCATTCCGGACACGAGCCCCATGAAGCGCTCCGTCTCCACGCTGACCCCGCAGCGCCCTCACGCCATGCACCTCTACGAGTACTCCTTGGAGCGCATGCCGCCGGAGCAAGGGCATCACCACCATCACCACCGCTGCCACCGGCGGAAAGAGAAGAAGCAGAAGTCCTTGGACAGGTCCCCCCATCAGCTGGCCGATGGAGAAGCTGGTAAGTGCTTCGCAAACAAGGATTTGTCCCTTGTCCTCCTCCCTTCAGGATGTTGAGCAGTCATCTGATGTGATTTGGGGTCCCATCTGCATGGAAGGACCTCTTTGCTCCACACTTGGGAGTTCCCCCTGTGTTGGTGACCCCCAACCAATGCTCTTCTTTCAGTGGCCCAGTCTGGCGAGTCTTCTTCCAAGGACAAGAAGCAGGAACGCGGCCGGTCCCAAGAGAGGAAGCAGCACTCTTCCTCCTCCTCCGAAAAGCAACGCTTCTACTCCTGCGACCGCTACGGCAGCCGGGACCGTTCTCAGCCCAAGTCTGCCGATCAGAGCAGGCCCACCTCACCCAACGGAGGGCCAGAGCAAGGTCCACACAGACAGGTGAGGAGATGCAGGGGGGGAAAAAAGCCCTAAGGTCTTCCAGGGATGTACACACCTTTTCCATGTTTTGCTTAAAGGAGAGAGAATGGGGAAGGAAGGCCAGGCAGTAGGAGATAAAGCTATTGAGGTCCTGCTTGGTGCTTCACATCCAAAACAGGGATGGAAATGTCACTTGATGGCTCTTTAGTAGCCATCTACAGAGTGAGTGACTCAAGGCATCTCACAGAGACCCCACTGCCAAGAATACCCTTGCTTGTGGTTTTAGCAGAGCAGCCTAGGAGACCTGAGAACTGGCAGCTCTTGATGCTGGTGGAGACAGTGTATCTGAGTCAAGGCAGGCTGGTACCGTGGCGTGGGACCTGGGCAGCTGAGCTGAACTGTTCCTCTGCCAGCTGTGTTAATCCAGCACCTACTGCTGCCCCGTGCACAAACATGTGGTGGTTGCCAAAGAAATCCTTGACATTGCAGTACAAGCCGGTGTAAAACTGTATAGGGAGTCCAGACAGCCAGAGCTGTGGTTTCAGCAGGGTTTGCTCATATTAACAGGATTTTCCAACTGCTGTTGCATGGGCTTCAGAGCTGTCCTGTATTATGGAACAGGTTAATCTTCTGAAAATCGAGTAAAAAGTCCTTTTTCCATAGTGTCAAATCAATCTTCAAATCTGCTCTCTAGCAGGGAGGAGATACCACGTTGAGGGAGAGGAGGAATGTAGGAGAAGGCAGGACCTGGCTGGAAGGGGAGAGAGCTCAGCCCTGGGCCAGCATGAACCCTGCAAACATCTCCAAGTAATGCACAGCCACTGTGCCGAGAGGGAGGCTCTGGCCACTTTCCAAAATCTCCCTAAATTTGCAGCCTGCTGGTGGTGTGTGACCAGCCGGGTGTCTCAGGAGGGGCTGAGCGAGGCTGTCAGCCGTGAGCCCCTGCAGCAACCTCAGCTCGCGGGGAGCGGGAGGAAATCCTGCGTTCAGCATGAGTTAGAGCCGGGGGGAAGGATTTAAATGAAGAGGCTTCGAAGTGTCCCAGTAGCTGCAAAATGAAGGAGCTTTTTGTCTCCTTACGCTGTCCTGTGCCTTTCTCTCTCCCTGCATGGTCCTTAGCAGCATCCAGGCTGCAGCATCAGAGGCTGTGTGCTGCAGTGAGTGCTCAGGGGCTGCTGCCCTGCAGCTCTGGAGACACCCAGGGCATGGGACACGCTTTGCACGGTCATTCTCAGCTGGGAGGGGATGTGACATCGGTGTAAGGTCTGATGCACCCAGGACTGTGTGTGGCCATAGCAAGAGGGAGCTGCAGCCTAACAGGTCTTTTCTGCTTCCAGTTGCTGCAGTCCCTGACTGGCCTTCACCTGATTTTTCAGATGAGTTTTTCTTTCCACTTCTTAATTTCTCCCTCTGGTTTGAGAGGCAGGAAGATGGCACTGATTTTTAGCATGATGCCTCTCCTTTCTTGCAGGCTCAGTTTACCAGAACTTTAAATATCACATATGTTTTAATTAAAAATCTGAAACCTTCCCATAGTTCATAGACATTCAGCAGTAGAGCATCAGCTGCCTTTTATAAACCTGTTTCCCCAGTTCTAGTGAAGTCCGTATTGTCCCCCATGTCCCATAGGGGTTTAGTAAGGCAGGGAGGAGAAAGCCTGTTGTTTTGGTGTCCATGTATTTTATCCACTCACATGTTACCTACTTTGAGTGGAGCTGCTAATACATCACCTGGTTGTTCTGGGAAAAAAATGGAAAAAATAGCCAAGCTAGCATGACACTTCTGTCCCAATGGGCTGAAGACCCCTTGTCTTAATAAGGTGTCTGCAAGAAGCTCTGTCAGTCCATTTCCTGTGTTATTTTGGCTTGATAACAAGGTGCTTGTTAACTCTCAAGCATTTTCTTTGTCAGTCTGTCCCTCTCCTTGGGAGCTTTTCCCAGGAGCCCTGGCCCAGCATGTTTCACCAAGTCCCTGGAGGCCCCTGCATATACCAGAAAGAGAAGCTGGCTTAGGCTTCACTCTGCCAACAAGGTGGCTTCGTTCCAGCTAGAGCCAAGCCAAAAATCAGGACAGGTTTGGTTCAAAGAGAAGTTCTTTGGAGTTTTTCTTAATGCAAAAAAAGGAGACAAAAAAACCAAGCCATGAACATTTCATTTTGGGTCAACTCACAATGCTTTCTTTGACTCACACAGAAATGCTACACATTGTCTGTGAATTATTTCACTGTTTCTTTTTCAATGCAGATGAATTGTTAAGTATAAATCCCATTTCATGATGAATCTGGGAAAACCATTTTTTTAAATGAGAGGAAACTGCTTGGAATTTCAAAATGTTTCAGCAGGAAGGAGCTGCTTGGACATTTTGGAAAAAAGACCTCACCATTTTTTTTACAATCAAGCTCATTTCCCAAATTGGTCCTGCATAAAAGCAGTTTGAAAATCTCACCAAAAAAAAAAAACATTTTTAGACAGCTCAATACTTACCAAAACAATTTAGTTCTGCTTTCTTAAGTATTGTAATTTTGAGGTGCTCAGCCTCAGGCCCTTGGAAAAAGCTGAGCATCTTTCCCTGGATGTTGGAATGTTGTAGGTCACTGGGTGGTGGTGACCATCTCCCCCATCACCACGGGGAGGCACCTCAGCCAGGGGGGCAGGTACCTGGGATGGAAATATGTATCTGTAGCAGAGCATAAGGCTGAAATGTGGGGAGGCCAGAGAAGAAAGAGGGTGAAAATGAAAGAAGAGAAAGGCAAAGACTCTGTTTCCAGGCTGTGAAAGGCATGAGTCATTGGCCCAGCAGCAAGAGCAGCAAATGCCATATCAGTCCCCAATGCCTGCGGAGAGCAGGGCTGCAGTGAGCAGCACCCACGCTGCTCCACACCCCCAGATAACACGGGTATTACCTCTTCTTCTGATAGACGTGGCACAACTCATGCCAACAGTGGCTAAAATAGCCTCGACATCCAGCTGCGGGGCTGTTAGCCTCCAGCACTGCTGGGCTTGCCCTGAAAACTGTGCTGGAAACCCAAGCAGAGCAGGACACGCATTGATTGATAGCCCAACAAGCAACAACCTGATGTTTTTATAGGAAGGAAAAGCTGCTCTTTAAAAATTAAAGGTCTGGTCTCAAAATGTTAGGTCACAAAAGGCCAAGGGATTTTTAAAATGTGCTCGCAGGGCTATTCATGTACTGCCTTGGGAGAATGTAAACAGAAATACCAAAACAAGGGCCTGTTCCTCTCACTCATGGCATTTTTTTTTTTTAACTTACTGTAGCTTAGTTCACTCCCACATGTCTCTATTAGTAACCCAGGAAGCTGCCAGACTCCTCTATCACTCAAAAATCAAATGTGTAATATTAAAGAGGAGAAGGTGAACACATTTTTGTTTAAGGAACTTGTTAGTTAAAGCCTGTCCAAAAAGCTTTTTGTTGTTTTTTCAGAAAGTAGCTATTTAATCAAAATGCATTTCATTCCCAAAACTACAAAAAAATAGTCTGCCCCCAAATCCTCCTCCTACATAATCCAATTTTGACCACAGAAGTGATTCCCAACATCAGCATTCACAACCGTCAGGTGAAGTTCTGCAAAAATCTGCCTGAAAGCAGAGTGCTGTTTTGCAAAATTTTATTTGCAAAAAAACCCAACCCATAGGTTTTTGAACTCCTCCCGCCTAGTTCAGGTAAGGCGCATGTCAAGCCTGTGTATGATGTGGATGCCTTCCCTCCGGACAGTGTCCCCTTCTGTTGGAGCCGTCTGCCAGTTTGCGTCCTACCGATGCTCTGATCGTTTCTGTTCTTATTTACCGCTCGCAGAACTTTAGTTCTCCAGCTCTTTACATCTCGTGTTGAATTATTTCTCGAGAACCTCCTCCCCCTAACTGTGCTTGTCTAAACTCTCTCTTTTTTGCTTTTCTTTCCTCTTGTGACTTGTCTCTCCCTTCTGTTGCTTCTCCTTCTGTTTTATACCTGCCTGCCTTTGTGTTTGTCTGGTGTTTCCCTTTTTTATTTTTTGATTTGCTTTGTTCCAATTTTTATGTAGGGTAGTGGTTCAGTTAATGGGAGCCCCTTGCTGTCGACATCTGGTGCTAGTACCCCATGCCGGGGTCGGAGGCAGCTCCCACAGACTCCACTGACCCCACGTCCCAGCATCACTTACAAGACCGCTAACTCCTCGCCCGTGCACTTCACCAGTTTCCAAACCGGACTGCCCACTTTCTCCCCGGGACGCCTGAGCCGCGGCTTGTCTGAGCACAACGCGCTGCTGCGCGGGGACCAGCAGCCGCCCCCCCCGGCGGTGGCCCGCATCGGCTCCGACCCCTACCTGGGCCACCGTGATGACACCGACAGCCCCTACCGCGCGGTGCCGGAGGACACGCTCACCTTCGAGGAGGCGGTGGCCACCAACTCGGGACGGTCCTCAAGGACTTCTTACGTCTCCTCCTTGACCTCCCAGTCTCACCAAATCCGCAGGGTGCCCAACGGCTACCACTACACGCTGGGTCTCAACACGGGCCCCGGGACTGGCACCAGAGGACGTAGTTACTACCACGAAGCCGATGAGGATGACTGGTGCTAGCGGCATGGCAAAACCCTTCAAGGTGTGCGTGTTTAAAATCGATGAGTTTTATCATCTGGAAGGCTGCGCGCTCCAATGCGCGCGGTGCCTGGGGCCAGAGGGGGCCCGCGGGGCAGCCTCCGCCGTGAGAACTGCTCTGCTCCCAGGTCCGGAGACACTCCTGCAGCCTCTCTCCTCTCTTTTTCTTTATTTTTTTTCTTTTTCTTTTCTTTTTTTTTTTTCACTAGACAAATCGAGGAAGAAGGCTCCCCCCTTAGGGGGAAGGCAGCGGGGGGAGCACATCTCTCTCTCCCCTCTCCCACCTCCCTACTGCCTTGTCTAGTTCAAAGACATGCTCCAGATGCCAAATCCGTGACACCCGCGAGAAGCCGAGAGAAGAGAGGTCCTCACCTTTGACGGCGGAAAAAGCGGACTGTCGATCCTTTACAAGATTGGCGCAGTTTTTGTTGGGCTATTTCTTAATTTATTTATTTATTTTTTTTTTCCCTGGTCAGGGTGGGAGTCGGGGGTTGCAAACAGACACACATGAACAAAGATCTCATCCGTGTTTTATCTCATTCACCGCTAAGAAGGAAGAGATCTACCCAAGAAACTGGGAGTGGAGAAACACAGACCAGAACAAAGGACAGTCCACTGGGACTTGATGTTCAGCCACAGCAATCCTTTTTGGCGGAGCCAGTGACACCCCCCTGAGCTGACCAAGCGCTCCGGCAGCCGGGACTCTGCTCTGACACCGCTGCCGTGTGGATCTCTTATTTTACTCACCACGTCGGGTCCTTCACACTGACACATGATAAAGCCACAAGAGAGCTACTTTGTAAGGACTGTTTCCTTGCTGCTGAGACTTTTCCTTCCGTCCCTCTCTCCTGTCGACCGCAACACGCCCTCACTGTTTTGTCTTGTTTACAATATAAGCTTGATTTAGCAAAAAACAACTAAAAAAAAAAATCCAGAAAAAAAAAAAGAGGAAAAAGCATAGGGGTGAGAAGAAGAAATGTTATTGGTTTTATATCAAGCTATTAGATAGAACTTTAACTTTTCATTGTGTGCATTTTTGTAAATTGTACAGTAAAAAAAAAAAGAAAAAAATACTCTTTATGTAGAGAATTAGTCCAATTGTCATTCCAGGTCCCACCGTTTCTACCGAATGCTCCAGTTGTTCACTACTAAGTGCCTAACCTTTGAAATCTTTCACAGCGACGATGCAACCTCTTGCTTCGATGCATCAGACCTTGGGCGAGCATGGGGAGGGGCAGGAGGGGAGGGAGGGCAGAGCCGGGAGGAGCCGCTCGTCTCGAAGGTTCCGTGGTGCACCCAACGCCCCGCGTCGCATTACTGGACAGTGTATTCGAGTACCAGGTTGGAAGCTTACAGTGGGGAAGGCAAACATGCTTTGGGGTTGGTTTGGGTTTTTTTGGCCTTTTTTTTCTTCTTTTTTTTTTTTTTTTAAATATATACTTTTATTGGTGGGAGGGGAGTGATTGCAGCAAACAAAGCTGGCCTTTTCTCTTTGACTAGTGTTTAGGTCCTGCGGGAGAGATGCAGGTGGAAAAGTACAGCATCTGCAGAGATGCTCTTGCAGGAGAAGCAGCGTCTTTCACACTGCATGTCAAGTCACAGTCGAGCTGCGAGAGCTCTGGCTATGTTCCACGGTGCATAATTTGTGTTGAGGGCAGTTGGAGAGAGTCTTGTTTTTATTGCCTGTTAAGAGAAGGTTAAAAAAAATAATAAGCAAAACCTCTAACTCTGATTCTCAGGGATGAGATTTCTGTGTTCTTGTAATGACTCTTGCATTGGACAATTTCTTTTTTTTGTGCATGTGTGGATTTCTGCACTTTGAGCCTGAGAAGGAGGCAACCACGATGTGCTGGTGGGGAGGGAGCACTGAAAGAAAAGCCTGGGCAGGACCTTGTGTCTGTGGTCTGATGAACCATCGTAGGGCTAATTTGGGGCACAGGGCGGCCGGAGGACATGTAGTACGTTGACAAAAGGTTAGAGGAGGAAGGGTGGGAGGTGCCAGACGAGCGCATCGCTAAAAATGCTGATAGGAAAGAACAGAGGGTTGGACAGATTAATTTTTTCAGAGGATCTACCAAGCCCCAGAACTGTGAAACTTCTCCAGGTCGCTTAGGACAGGTAGAGATCCTGCTGGACCCTGGTGATTCGTTTTGTCGCTGGGGTGGTTGGAGGGTATTGGATGCTGCCAAAACTCTCAGGAGGTCTCGTGTGCTCTCAGCAAAAGTAATTCAGCCTCAGGCAGGGAGCAGTCTGCTGTAGGGTGGCTCTTCACATCTCCTGTAGCTCTTCTGTTGAGGAAATTCAACCTGTTTTTGTTTCCTTCTGTGGTTTTTTTTTTTTTTGTCCTGTTACTAAATAATAATCTTTGGCCAATCTCATCCCTGGATTCTGCTAAAGGATAACTCCTGTCTAGAACTCTGTCTCTGCATTTATGTGCACTTTGAATAAAAGAAGTGCGGTAGCCGGAGGTCCGCCATGAGTAACAGCTGTAATTTGCAAACGGAGGGCTATGCAACAAGATGACACGTTCAGAAACACATCCAAACCACCAACAGTCAGAAAGACCTTCATCCGTTCTGTAGCTTTATCTGCTGGATTTTCCTGTTTCGGGCTTCAGCATGATTGTGACCAAATGTTTTGTACATTTTCCTTATATGAAGGCACAAACACTTTATTTGAAATTTTAAAGAAAACGTTACTATTTTACTCCAGGAAGTAAAGGAGAGGGAAAACGCAATCTCTCTGACAGTGCATGCAAACATTGTACCCACACTGGAAAGCAAAAGAAATGTCTTTCTGTACTGAATAATTTTGTCTTGTTCTCCACTCCACCTTTCCCCTTCTACCATTTTAGATCTTCAAACCCACAGCCCCGCACTAACACACCATCTGGAAGCGCACAGCCAAACTATGGCCTTGGGTCACTCCAATTCCTAGGCAGAACACGAAGAAGAATCTCAAGTTGTCTAATCCTCCACCCACCTCGTAGGGGTCGATGCCAGTGACAGACAAGCCTGACCACAATTGTTCATAACCCTTTTCCTACCTTTTTTTACAGCCTCTCTGCTGTCTCTTCAATGCATACATGATATTTCCAAGAATCCTCATAGTGAGTTGCCAAACTTGAATTGCACCGATCAGTTTTCTGCATCCAGAACCAGTCTCGTAGTGGCTGTACTTTGAATAAGTAATGTTTGCATGTAAAATATATACATATATACATATATATAAAAAGTATGTGCATGGAAAATGTTTATCTTCGTACTTTTTTGATACAATGTATTCATCAGTTGTTAATTTTTAATTATATTTGATATAAATTGGGGGTTTGTTGCAAAACTTTATATTTAAAAAAACAGTGTTAAAAATTATAAAAGTTCCAACCATGCAACACAAGTGGAACTTTACCCAAAAAAAAGGGGAAAAAAAAGAAAAAAAAAGGTTCTGTGATTGCCTAGTTTGCTGCCTGAGTAATATTTATCAGCCAAACTTTGAATTCTGCAGTTGTTTCTACAATTACATTTTGTATGAAGCAAAGTCCTTGAATTAAAATAAAAACTTAGCAAAAAACCTTACAAATTCAAAGATGGTGTGTGCAGTGTGCCTAGTGACCGGGAGACCGCCATCCTGAGAGCAGCCTCCCACCCGGCGGGCTGGCTAGGAGAGAGCCGCGGGAGGCAGCTTGGCTTGACCACCACATTGAATGACAGCCCATGAGATCTGGTGTGAAACCGGATTTAGTTCAGCCCAAATTGGGATGCTGTAAGAAATTGGCCACATCTGTGTTTGTTTCCGTACAGGCTTCACAGATGCTCGGTCTGAGTAGGGAGCTGTTTGTAAATTTGCCTTTGCAGTGTGGAGATTACAGTTGCTGGAGTCCAACAGGCAGCAAAATTGCATAATTTAAGTTGAGGGTTACAAGAAAAACCCTAGCAGTGATTGATTCCTTTGAGGTTTTTAACAGATGTTTCTCTTGTTGATGTGCAAAAATGTTGGGCATGCGGCTCCCTTTAGCATTAACCCTTATTAAACCTTAAACCCACTTCCAGCAAGTGTTCTTGGTGCTACCTCAGGTAGGCATGGGCATGGAAATCAGTAGCATGTGGAGCTGGATTGGTGTCAGTCTGCCACGTGTCCAGGATGTGCCATAGCACTTGTAGAAAAAAAAAATTAATAATACTTGCTGAGTGTACCTCGAAGTTCCTACTCCCAAGGCTTGCACTGAGCAGAAGAAAAACCCAAGGGCTGTTGGTACACGAGGAAGGAACTTTTCATTTCTTTGCATAACTGGAGAACTGCTCTCATTCCCTACCAGGGGGAGAAATCCACTGCGTGCATCTCCTGCATCAGGGTCTGCTGGCGTGACGCTTCTGACAATGCCAAGGACTCTCCAAAAAATTATTGAGAAAAATTAATAGCAGCTGTAGAGCACTGCTGAAGGGAGGACCATCGCATTTTTGCATTTTTCAGTACTCTTCAGAGCACAAGGTCTATTTTAGTATTCAACTCTTCTTCTTCTCTCTTATTGCATCTTTTCTGTGATGAGACCACCCAAGGTCCCACTTGAGATTCGGGTATTGTGTGAAATGCAAGGAAATCCTGATCACCAGGCCAGGCTGTAGCATGGGATGAAAATGGTTTTGTTTGAGGTCACACGGTACATTATTAGCAAAGTTTGGAACAGAAGAACTTCTCGGCTTGTAGTCTGGTCTGTGCAGGGTTTGGGGTTCTTGGGCGGGAGGACAGTGGAGCATAGGGGAGAAGAGTAGGATTTTTATTACATTTTTGAGCTATCCCAAGTAAACTTGAGAAATGGAGCTTTCTGAATGTGTCTGAGCAGCGTACAAGGGAAGGTTTGAAAAACAGCGCAAGATTTGAGAATCAGTGTGCATCCCGACTTCAGCCGAGACGCCCGTGGCATTCGCTCCACCTCAACCATCTGGGGAGCTGGAATCTGCCTGGAGGACCAGATGAGCAACCTCTCCCCTCCAGATGTGTATCACAGGGGACCTCCGAGACCAGTTTACAATCCCATATGTGTTTTCAAATCCTAAAAGCCTTTTGGCAGCTTTTTGCCTTTTTTTTTTCTTTTTTTTTTCTTTTATTTCTCCTTATTTCAGTTGTATTCTTTCAGTCCCTGAGACCAAGGCAGCAATGCACCCAACAGCTTCTCCAGGGACTGCCTGAGTTCTAGGATGAAAGAGCTGGAGCAGGTGGGATCCCTGCTACCAGACTCAAAGCATTTCCCACATCCAAGACACTGGAGCTGAAACTCCCGGTTTTGCTTCACTCCCGTTTGAGTTCAGCTGAACTCTACAAAATGGCTCTATTTTTGTACCTCGTCCTTGGTGCCGCCTGGTTCTCATGACCAGTGTAACACCGTTCATGCAAAGCTGCTGTGAGTGGGTTTGCACAAGGTCTCTTC